CAATACAAATGCAAAAGGTAATCGGCGACCGGCAACCTCGGTGTCACAACCCCAACACCCTTGTTTCAAGATAACCTCGCCACCAATAGGTGACTCTACACAAATAGAAGATGCTAATTGTGCCAACTCCAACCCCAAAACCGATACAAATGCAGACGAAATAAATGAATGGGATGCACCCGTATCAATTACCACATTAGCAACTGAATTGCAAAACTAGAAGGTACCTCCCACTACAGAAGGTACGGGTACTAGATCCAGCCTTGTAACAGCATATACACGCTCCATAGGTCATTGCTCAATCTGTTCACCCCTTGGAGCATATGCTTGATGAACTAACTGAGCCAAGGAGGCTCCCTGATTAGCCCTCAAGGGCTGTGCTAATTGTGCTAGCTGGTGGCTCTGTGTCTGCCTCGAACTAGATGCACCAGATGTGCCACCCAACTGAGGGCAACACCTCTTCATGTGCCCCACCTACCCACACTGATAACAAGTGAGCGGTTTGCCTCTCCCCTGACTCTGGCCTAAAGAACGAGCCGAAGACGATGCTGCTCGCTGCCCTCCTCCTCTCTGCAAGCAAGCTGGAGACTTGTGGCCCAACTGACCACATTTGAAGCAAGTAAAATCTCCCTGACCACCCCTCCCAGAACCCGAACTTGGCATTGGAAAAGTGGACCTCGGCTGAGCTCCCTGGGACGACTGAGGGTTAGAACCCCTCTATCTTTTACTGTCCCCATGACTGTCCTGGCTCCTCTTGAAGTCCCTCATTTCCTTCTCTCCTGCCTGTATGATAGTCTCAAGATGGGATGATGCCTCCACAAGGTACCCATACTCTCTAATCATGGACCCATCCACTTTGAACATGAGCTCGGTCCTCAACCACTTCTCGAACTCCAGACAACGGCGCTCCTCAGTCGCCACAAGTTCCGGTGAAAACCTTGGCCAGCTAGTGAATGTGGCTTCAAACTCAGCTACTGGTGTGTTCAACTGCATCAACTTAGAGAACTGGTCTCTCAACTTCTCCCTAACAGTGAGAGGCAAAAACTTGTTCTGGAAAGCGTCAACAAAAGCCTCGCAAGTCCTTCCAATGCGTCCTCGCGCATACTTCCACCATTCACCCATGTCTCCCTTCAGCTAGAAGGATGCCAAGGTCACTCTCAAACCCTCATCTTCGACGCCGAGCATCTCAAATGTCTTCACCATCTGCTCTAGCCACTCATCCGTTTTCAGTGCCTCCTTGCGATCACCCAAAAACTCATTCGAATTCGACCGAAAAAACTCCATCTTTAGAAAATATGGCCTTGCCTCAGCGACTTGGGCCTGGACTTGATTCTCAGCCCTGAAAATGTCTATAGATTTCCGCAAAGCTTCGTCCATTTTGTGGTCTAAGGCACCCATAGCCTGTTGACCAACCAGTTCAGCCACATTAGCCTAACCAACCCCTTTTGCCTGTGTTAGAATATCATCCGGTAGAGGCATCTCATGCCTTCTAGGCCTACCACACCTACCATCACCACGTCCATGTCCACGTCCTAATGTCCTAATAAAGGTAACAAAAGGTATTAGCACATTTATAAATATGCCGAAGCTAACTCACTCGTGTCCTAATGCGATGGATAACAGTAAACCACTTCATATAAGTACGTAACCATACAAACACATACAAATTTCCTTCCTAGATAATGACTGTCCCGCAGCGTTGCTAGAGTTCTAATTAGAAACAACAGTGATCAAGTGCTCTTCTAGTAGGACTTTCAGAAACCCGTACACCCAATCAATATCATAGGAACTAAATCCCATACCCATATAATCATATAAGCATGTTATCACATAAGCATACAATGCATACTAATGTCTCAATCAAGCGAGAAAAACCCATTATGGTACTAACCACTTCTCATGTACCCAAAGTATGCAAACTTGGTACGCTCTAATACCAAGTTGTAATGCCCCCAAATTATTACAATAAATCCAATCCTTAAAACAGAAGAATAATAGAAATAATATGTTTTCATCCATCAGAGTTCGTTTACAAAAGTTAACACATGCGATATACATTTACAAATGTTCATCCTGAATCTACAGCACATGTTGCAATATTAAGAGAATTAAAACTAAACATATAGTCATCTGCCCTATAGGCTTACATCTTTCCAAGTCATTGCTCGGTTACACAAAAGTGAGCCTATCTCAATATAATTTAAGCCCTTGTTTATACAAAAAGAATATAACAAAATAAAGAAGTTCTTGCTCCCAAAAGTCCCTCCAAGTTATTGCCTTGGCGAAGGCATGACATCAACACCTAAAAATAGTTTTCCTAAATAGGGTAAGTCAAAGCCCAGTAGGAACAATCTAACACAATATATGAGATTTAACAAAGATATAAGTACAATTTGAATATAAAATGTTGGTAACAAAATATCCACATTTTTTTTATAACCGTAAAGCACCAAAGTTCATATTTCAATTCGTTTTCCTCCAATTCATTTCAAGTTCATTTATTCTTCTCAATTCATGAGTCAATTTCATTACCTTTCAACAACCTAACTGATACTACAGCTTAGTGGTCCTCTAATCAACACAATTACCACACAAACACTTTAATATGCCATTTTACATAAATTTTTTCCGTGGGATCGGCAACCATGTATACATACGATTTTGGAACTTTCACCCTGGACACTCTGGCCAACTTAATTCAATGGAGTCCATCCTCTATCTCCTCCCAAATAATGGAGTACGTCCCCGTTCTCCTCCCAAACAATATATGTATACAATGTATTTAAAAACATAGTCATATTCAATGACAACCAACATTAGATTAGTTTTAATTTACCTAATTCTCATGCATTTTTTACAATAATCATAGTTATCCTCCACCGATAGCCCAATACAGATATATAGTCTTCTCAATAGATAAATTATTCAAATTTTCATAGGTGAGAGACAACACGTGACCAACTCCACCATTTACATTAACAATCATCCAATTGCACATTATCATTATCAATTTTAGTTATTTGTACAAAATAACAATTTGACCCATTTAGTGAAAAACTCCATTTTTCCGTATATCAATCCAAGTGTCAAAATTAACTATTTTGACACAACATAACCTCATATTCAAACACCATACCCATTTATTTCACATTCACCAAAAACCCCTCTTTTTATTTAACACCCAAACCCTAGGTTTGTTGAAAATACTCCCAAATCCCACCACTGTTACACAACAACAAATAACTAAGATAAAAATCATATGAAAGTGTAGAAAATCCCTACCTAAAAGAGAGAAGACGAGCCAAGCAGGAGTGAAACTTCAAAGATGCCCAAATCCAACTCTATTCGGATCAAAATGGAGATCTTAAGATGGTCTACCTTTTTTATCAAAGGGATTAGGTGAAGAAATCACTAGAACTAGGTGCAAATGTAGAGAGAGAGTGTGTGTGTTTTAGAGAGAGAGGGTCTCAACTTTAGGTTTTAGGGAGAAAAGATCTGAAAAAAGTGATGTAAAAAGTCAATTTCGTGATTTGATATACACACTATCCGCTCGAGTGCAAGAGTTGATGCTCGAGCATCAGATACAATAAGTTGTTCCACTCGAGTGCAAGAAAGGCTACTCAAGTACCAAGACACAATGAACAATACACTCACCGCTTGATCGCAAGAAGTGACGCTCGAGCGTAAAAAACACACATCCAGTAGTTTTACTGACAACAGGCCAACGCTCGAGCACAAGAAAGGCCGCTCGTGCGCCCACCCGCTCAAATGTAGGAAACGCCGCTCGGGCATAGAAATCACTCTTCCAACAGTTTTGTAGTCCTGCAAAGGTACTGAGAGTTTGCAAAGCTCGCTCGAGCGTATGAAGTGCCGCTCAAGCAAAGGACCAAAATTCTAGGCAACACAAGGTTTGAAAAACAAGCGACTAACCTGCCCAAATGCAACCACAATAACCCAAAAGCAAATTTCAAAGAGATACAAGGGAAGCAAGAGGTAAACAATAATATGAAAGAATTAAACCCGAGTCCGGGATACCATAAGAATCCGGGTCAAAATCGGGATCGCTATATACCCTCTACCTCCAGCATGTTTACTAATCCTTCCATAGATCTCTTCTCCAATGAGTTTAATGCAGGTTTCTAATTTGTAGAGACACCTTTGCTGACCCCTGATCCTGTCCAAACTGCTCTCCCTGATGGTTCACTACCCCTCACAGCTCTTCTCACCAGTCGTCCACATCGGGTAACTCAACCACCTGTTTAATTTCATGATTATATTGTCTGGTCTACTGTCTTTTCTACTTCTGAACCTATCTCCTATTGTGAGGCTTGTACTGATCCTCTTTGGAAACAAGCTATAACTGATGAACTACTGACTTTAGACAAAACCCATACCTGGGATATTATTGATCTTCCTTCTGGAAAGACTGGGATTGGTTGCAAATGAGTATACAAAATTAAGACCCATTCTAATGGCTATATTGAGCACTACAAAGCCCATCTTATTGCAAAGGGCTTCACCCAGGAATATGACATTGATTATGAGGAGACTTTCACTCTGGTTGCGAGACTTACCTCTGTATGCAGCTTAAATGTTGTTTCCGCTGCTCGCCACTAGGATCACTTTTAGATGGATGTCAAAAATGTCTTCCTTAATGGTGATTTTCTTAAGGAAGTCTACAAGTAACATTCTCTTGGGTCTGCTTATCCAGCTCAGAAGGTTTGCAAACTACAGCGTGCTCTCTATGGTCTCAAAGAAGCCCCACGAACTTGGTTTGCTAAATTCAATTCCACCATCCATGACTTCGACATCACCTCCAGCTCATGACTTCGAGTTCACCTACTCATGGCACCACTCTTTTTCTTCTTTACGTGGATGATATGATTATAACCAGTGATGATGTAGCTGGTATTCTTAGTCTCAAGCAATTTCTCAATTGTCAGTTTGAGATGAAGGGCCTTGGTACTCTCAATTATTTCTTAGGGCTTGAAATTTCTCATGATTCCGCTGGTTGTTATTTTTCACAAGCCAAATATGCTTCCGATCTTCTGGCATGTGCTGATCTTACCAATTGCAAGGCTACCTCTACTCTTGTTGATCCTCAGACTCATCTCACTCCTCTAGACGGGGATCTTCTCTCTAATGCTACTCTTTATCGCTAGCTGGTAGGTAGTCTTGTCTATCTCACTGTGACTTGTCCTGACATTGCTTATGCCGTCCATCTTGTTAGTCAGTACATGTTGGCTTCCCAAACCCCGCATTATACTGCTCTACTTCACATACTTCCCTACCTCAAAGGCACTATGTTCCATGGACGCCACTACTCTACTCACTCTTTTCTTGGGCTTCGTGCATTTTTTGATTCTGATTGGGTTGGGGATCTTACTGATCAACGCTCCACCACACGTTTCTGCTTCTTCTCAGGGGATTATCTTCTTACTTGGCGCAACAAGAAACAGTCCCTCACTGCTCGCTCTAGTACTGAAGCTGGATACCGCGCTCTTAGTGACACTACTTAGGAACTTTTGTGGCTTCGCTAGCTCCTTGTTGATATGGGTGTTTCTTCCCATTTTGCTACCTCTCTCTATTTTGACAATTAGAGTGCCATTCAGATTGTTCACAATGATGTCTTCCATGATCGCACCAAACATATTGAGATTGATTTTCATTTCATTCGACAGCATGTTACATGTGGCACTATTTATCTTCTCCATATTTCTTCTGTTGATCAACCTACAGATATTTTCACCAAGGCTCATCCTCCTCGTCGT